CCTCTGTTTCTGCACTGTAAGATTAACTATTCCCCTGTTTTTGTTACAAAACTTCTACCTTTCCAGTTGCGACAGTCACAATTAGTTGACTGTAATCTTTATGGGAGCAGATTGCCAGAGCTTTGTGCCACGGAGCCACTGGGTGGGTTCACAGTGCCAACCTTTTGGTTAACAGCTGAGCGTTTAATCATTTACACTGCTAGTACTCCTTAGCCTTTTCCCCCACACACTGTATTCTCCCAGCTGCCCTTCTCCCATGGATTATAATACCACAGACACACTGTATATCTATAAGGTGACTTCAAAAGCCTTGTGGAAAAATTTCATTAACTTTTCATTCCATTTTTCCATGAACTTTCGAAGCCCCCTTGTATTTTATGTACTGTAGGCTTACCTGGGCATTATGCATAACACACAGTAAGTTTTTCTGTTATTGTTGTTGTTGTTTTTGTCCCTTTGGTGGTGACAGAGCATGCTGTACAGCAGTTCAGAACCTGCCCCCTTGGCAGCGTTCACAGAAAAGTGGAAAGGAGGCAGTTTATCAGGAATCCAGCTCTGCTTACCAGCGTCTGGCCTTGGGCAAGTTACTTCCCTTCTCTGAGACAGTTTCCTCATTGGAAGGTGGTGTAAGAACTCCTTCCTCCCCGGACTATTAGATGGAACATGTTGGGTAACAGGCATACCCATAAAATACCTGGTAAGGCTAGATAAGTTAAACTCTACTTACCGCTGTCATTTTAATTTTTTTTAGCTGAATTACTGGAATGGCTGTAACCCTCTCAGGCTGTGGATGCCAACGGTTCCTGAAGGCTGGTTAGGTTTATCATTCTTTGCCTGGAGTCTCCACCAGAGGCCCAGTGGCCTGTAAGGGAGTGGTTCTGCTGGCTGGGGACTGTGGGCACGGAAGATAGCCCAGCATTTCTCATTAAATGTGGCAGCTGCTTCCTCATAGTGGAAGGCAGGGTGGCGAACATAGTGTCAGAACTCCTGATTTCTGGAAAAACCCGAAATCTGGATTTTTGTGTAAAATCTTGTGATTTTTAAATTGCTGACTCAATACTCAACAAGAAATAATGTGAGCCAAACAGAGAAGAGAGAATCAAGTTATATTAAGAGTAAGTGACTTGCCCCAAGTTAGAAGCCTAGCTGGGATTCCAATACAAGTCTTTCAAACTGGTGTTCCTTCCATAACGCAGTCCCCATTCTGACCTCACAGCCCCTACCCATTGGTGCCTCTCCCTCTGGGTCCCTCCAGGCTGGAACCACCAGGATGTAGGCATCCCCAACTATCCCCGGCAGGATTTGGAAGTCTCTCCAAAAGGCGAAGAAGGTTGGGGTCTACTAGCCTTAGTACAGAGAACGTTTGCGCACTCACTCCTGGACAGAGACCCGGGTTAGGGGTGGGGAACAAGGGTGGGGAAAGAGGAGGCGGGTCGGATGTCCACTTCCTCCTCCCCTGTCCCGCTCTCTCCGGGAGCCTGAGAATGTAGCCCCCAGCGAGAGGAGGGAGGTGGACCTGGGCCACGCCCAGACTTTCCTGGCGCCGTCCTCGGGATCGTCGGGCTGAAACAGCCCGCTGTTTGCACTCGCCCCTCTGACCCTGTCACCCTGAGCCTTGTTTTCTCTCCGCTCCGATAGTGAGTGGGAGGCCAGGCACGCCGGGGTTCCAGAGTCTGGCTTCCCGCCAGGCCCGTGGCCTTCAGCTCTGGGGCCACTAGGGCGGCCGCGCCTCCGAGGCGGGAGGAGAGAACGCCTGGGACCTGCTCAGTTGCCTTGGCCTCCCGGACCGGCACTGCCATGGGCTCCTGCAGCTCCCACGCCGCGAGCATTCCCGACCTGGACAGCATCCGCCGGGAGACCGGCTGTGAGTGGGGCGCCCGGAGCAGGCGTCCCTGCTGGCTGGGGAGGGACTCGGAGGCTGGGGATCCGAGCAGGCTCATTGCAGGGACTCCAGCGTAGGAGCCTCCCGCTGGAGGGAGATGGGTTAAGGGCTGGGTGAACCCAGAACCCACAAGAAGCTCGGGGTCAGGGACACCAGAGCTTGGAGATCTAAGCGTCTAGGATTTCAGCGTTACGTTGACCTAGGCTCGCCAGCGTCCACATTTGAGGACAGGTGCTCTCCAGGTGTGGAACGGATTCATCCTAGCCCGCAGGTGGTCTTCAGCTCCGGTTGAGACTAGAGGCAGGACTGGGCAGTGGATGGAGAGGGTTGACTTTGGCGCTTTGGTTTCCCGGGAGGAGAGCTCTGGGACCCAGTTAGCCTTCCGGGGTCTCGAATTCCGGCCCTTCACTGGGTCTCTTCACGCCCCTTGCAGCCCTCACGGCTTCTACCCTGGGCCCCGGTTGAGTGTCCCTTCCAGCAGGTCCTTTCTACTCTCAGTCCATTTCCGGGGGCTATCCAGAGTGGATTTTTGGAGCACTCCCCATGCGCTCTGGTCCAGCGGCACCCTGAAACTCCATGGAGTGACCCACACCCTGAAACTCCATGGAGTGACCCACCCACATTCTCTCCCTCAGTCTCACAAGCCAGCCTGGTCCGCCTCTACCACCGCTTCCAGGCACTGGACAAGAACCAGAAGGGCTACTTATGGTGAGGGGAAGCTGACTTTATAAATGCCCACTTGTCTCCTTGTCCCCATCTCCTGCCTTGATCTCCATCTTCCATCTTGCTCCATCTACCCTCTTTGACCTTTGATTATACAGCCGCACGGATCTCCAGCAGATTGGGGCCCTGGCAGTGAACCCTTTGGGAGACCGCATTATAGAAAGTTTCTTTCCTAATGGGTGAGCCTCACGGTTGGGTGGGGAGGTGGGGACGCCTAAGGGATGGATACCAAAAAAATATCAAGATGACTACTGCTGGACTCCACCCACCCACCAGGAGTTACAGTGTGGATTTCCCAGGCTTTGTCAGAGTCCTGGCTCACTTTCGACCTGTAGATGAATACACAGGAGTTCGGGACCCCAAGGAACCAGAACCCCTCAACAGCAGAATGAACAAACTTCGCTGTGAGTTTCTGTCTTTCCACCTAAGGGCTAGTCAGAGGTCAAATTCATGTACAGTTTGGAGCTTGCAGAAGAGTTTCACATTGTACATACCAGTTGTGAACTCGTAGCAACCCTATAGAAAATAATGGCAGTGTTCCATAGGATTTCCCAGGCTGTAATCTTTATGGAAAGGAGCTCTGGTAGCATAGTGGTTACCAGTCGGGCTGCTAACCTCAAGGTCAGCTGTTCGAAACTACCAGCTGTTCCACAGGAGAAAGATGAGGCTTTCTGTTCCCGTAAAGATTTTACAACTTCAAAAACCCTATGCAGGGTCACTATGAGTCAGAATCGACTCCATGGCAAACCACCACCATCAATCTTTAGGGCAGCTACCTGCTTATGTTTCTTTCTCTTATAGAGAGTTAAAATCAGCTCTTCCCATTAGCAGCTGAGCACTTAATCACTGTTACACTAGGGCTCCCACAGTGTACGTAAGAGTGCATTTGGCTGAATGGGGATTGTGCATCATGTCCCATTTAAACATGGCAGCTGTAAGAGGCGCCAGATTTATCTAGACCAGTGAGAGGCTCAGGAAACTCCCCGCACCTTTTGTAGCCTACTGATGACCTCCCTACTCCCTCCCTGCTCCATTCTCTTCCCAGTTGCCTTTCAGCTCTATGACCAGGATAGAGATGGAAAGATTTCCTGGCATGAAATGTTACAGGTGGGAAATACACAAGGGTAAGAGATGTGAAGATGTGAAGGGTGGGATGGTTGGCTGCAGTGGGTGTAGAGAGATGAGGTGTGACGATTGGTGGATGGAGGTTGCACATGATTAGTGTATTGCGTGGCTAAGGGGGATGGTAGGTTAATTGTGGACTAGCTAGAAGATGGAAGGGACAGTTGGTTATGAGGTTGGGAAGAGATCAGTGGTGATTTTACCCACTGAGTGACATTTGCCAATAATATTTGGAGACATTTCTTTTTGTAAGTTTTTGCTGTGAATTGAGTGATAGTTTACATGGGAGAACAGCAGCTTTACATTCATCCTATCGTATTTTGTTTCATTGTAATGGTTACAATCCCCTACATGCATCATCATTCAACAGCGTTTGCTTGCATTCCCTCTGTTTTTGTTTTTTGTTTTTTTGGATGTGCATTGAAGCAGTCAGGAATATATAACCATTTAAACAACCAAAGGGTATACCCTGCAAGCCAGTTGTCCTTCCCACTCCCCCCCACCCCCCCGGCCCGCTAGCACATAGTCCCTCTCCCTCCTTGAGTCCAGAGTCCCCAGCTGCTTCTGGAGACATTTTTGGTTATAAGAAATTGGGAGTGGTGCTACAGTAGTGAAATCTAGTGGGTAGAAGTCAGGAATGCTGTTAAACATCCCACAACACACAGGCCAGCCTCATCCAACACAGAGTTATCTGACCATATATCAATAGTGTTGAGGTTGAGAAACTCTGCAATCAATTTTGGGATGAGAAATAGGGTATGGAATTGGGAATACTTGTAGGATGGAGTGAAAAATACATGGAGGTTAGGGTATAAGGCTGAGGTTGGCTAAGAGTTTGGGCAGATTGAGGTTGAGTGTAGGACAGTAAGAAATTGATGGAGAGTCAGTGAGGGAAATGATTGGACAGAAGTGAAAATGGATGAGGGGTGGATTATGGAATTGGTGGCACCTTTTGGAGTGAGATGGACCAGGATTTGGGGGTGGTGGGAGGAGCCTTTGTGCTTTCTCTGCATGGCTGCTTCTCATCTTCCCTCCCAGGTTCTCCGGCTGATGGTTGGTGTACAGGTGACGGATGAGCAGTTGGAGAACATTACCGACCGAACGGTGCAGGAGGCCGATGAAGATGGTGATGGTGCTGTTTCCTTCTTGGAGTTCGTAAAGGTCAGAATACCCTTAGGGCCTGAGCAGTTGAGATCAAGAGACCCTAGGGCTGAAGGATGTGGGAAAGGAAGCTCAAAGGAGGACAGAAAGGAGTTCCCGGGAATGGTGGGTAGGTCCCTGGGAAAGGAGGTTGGAAACATAGAGGATTGGGATTCAGGCCTCTTGACTACCACCCTTGTCTCCTCAGTCCTTGGAGAAGATGAACATTGAACAAAAGATGAGCATCCGCATCCTGAAATGACCCCTTTGTGCTTTTGGCAAACTCGTGCTAACCAGCTTCTTCTTGGAATTCATCCTCAGCTCCCATTTGAGGCAGGACCTCAATAAAGTATATTCTTTCTTCTAAGATTGACCTTTGTTTAGGGCCAAGGTGAGAAAGCTGGAAGTCTAGTCCATTTGATCTCAGATCTGTGAACCAGCCAGCAATCTTTTGGGTACAAGAAAACCCAATTTAAAGTGACATAATAAATGGATTTTATGGGCTCATGTAATGAAAAAAGTCTGGAAGTATGTTTTCAGGCACAGCTGGAAGCAAGGGTCCAAATGATGTGATCAGAATTTAGTTATTGTCTGTCTCTCTACTTGGCTTTCTTTCGTGTTGGTTTCATTCTCAGGAGGACTCTTTCCTTTCCTTTATGGTAAACTAAAGCCACCAGCAGCTCCAGACTTCCATTCTAGTAGCCCAGAAACTCAGTGGATTTTGTTTTCCAATAATTCCGAGCAAAGATTTAAGTGTGAGTGTCAGTGGCCTAAGGTCCTATCCTTACCTCACACAGAATAGAATGCTCCAATTGGTCAGACCTGTGTCACATGCTCACTTCTAGAGCCAGGAAATAACTTTGGAGGACTCAGGATGGGGGAAATGGTGGTTGCTTAAAAGTAAATGAGGTGTTCTTATCAGAAGTAGGAGAGATAAGACTGGTCAGACAAAATCAAAGATGTCCATGAATGTTCAGTGTCCAAATTACAGACCCTTGCAGCCTGACCTGGTACATTGGTTTCCATGGAACCTATGGACATGCTAGTGTGCCTAGGGTCGGGTGTAGGAAGAGGTGATGTCAAAATACTAAACAATACATATCTTCTTGGAGTGTGAAGTTCTTCAAACTTTTCCATAACCTCTTTGCTATGGAATCCACCAGTTGCTGTGAATTGACTCTGACTCACGGTGACCCCAGGTGTGGGTGTGTCAGAGAAGAACTGTTTTCCATAGGGGTTTTCAATGGCTGACTTTTTTTGGAATGAGATCATCAGGACTTTCTTCTGAACCACCACTGGGTGGACTCGAACCTTACCTATCTGTTAGCAGTCAATTACTTAAGCATTTGTGCCACTGAGGGACTTCATTCTGATTTTCGGGGATTTGAAAGCATATAAAAACTATGGTCTAGGAACATGGAAGTGTGTGGGGTGGTGTATAAGCCTCATTTTAGCATTTGTGTTTTGCTTTTACAATAGTTTAATTCTCACAGGAGCTCTGGTAGCGTAGTGGTTACGAATCAGGCTGTGAACTGCAAGGTCAGCAGTTCGAAACTACAAGCTGCTCCACGGGAGAAAGATGAGGCTTTCTGCTCCTGTAAAGATTTACAGCCACAGAAACCCTGTTAAGGGTTGCTATGCGTGGGAACCGACTTGTCGGCACTTAACAACAATTCTTACAGGTGAATCTCATTGCAGAATGTGGTAAAAAGGGGATCCTTAATTCCTTAGGCAAGGGTGGGGAACCTTTTTTCTGCCAAAATTTATAACATCATTTTGCAGGCCATACAAAATTATCAACTTGAAAATTGACCTGCTATATGTGGTCAAACATTTAATCAACTCACCCCTAAGAGTCCTGCAAAGTTGGCTTGAGTCACAAGCTCAGCAGTTAAAGCTTACCTGCTGCTCCTGGAAACCTTATACAGGGTTGCTATGAGTTGGAACTGACTTGACGGAACTTAACAAGTAGAGTCCTGGTGTGGCACTGCAGGATAATGTACTGGAAGGCAAGGTCAGTTTGAACTGCAAGGTCGGTGGTTCAAACCCACCAGTTGTTCCTTGAAAACCCTATACAGGGTTGCTATGGGTCAGAACTGACTCCATGGCACTTAACAACAACAATAATGCAAAAATGTGATGGTTGGAACTGTGGTTGCCTTGGCAGGGCCAGACCAAAAGATTTGGGGAGGGCCTTTTACGGCCCTTGGGCTGGACATTGCCTACCGGTGCCTTAGGGGATTTTGTTGTTTTGTCAGAAGACTGTCACCTGAACAAGGACTTTCTGATTGAGGGGTTTTGGCTCCAGATTCAAGTGTGTGTGCATGCTGGGGGAAGCGGGGGTGGGAGAAAATGCAAACCATTGAGTGACCATTTTTCCAGGCACTGTGAGGGAAAATTTGTACATAAGGAAATTGAGTTTCTCTATAGTGGCACTGTGGAGTCGGTGTGGCGCTGTGGGCTAATTAATGTGCTGGGCTGCGGTGGAGTCATGGTGTGGGGCTATGGGCTAATGTGCTGGACTGCAAAGTCAGTTTGAACCACACGGTTTCACAGGTGGCTCCTCAGGAAGCCTATACAGGGTTGCTATGAGTTGGAACTGACTTTATGGCATCTAATAATAGTGGCGCTGTAGGCTAAGCACTGGATTACAAGGTTGGTTTGAACAGCAAGATTGGTGGTTCAAACCCACTAGTTGCTTCTTAGAAACTCTATACAGCGTTGCTATGAGTCAGAACGGACTTGACAACACTTAACAACATAGTAAATAGAAGAGACTTGATGGCACTGTGGATTAGGTATTGGAATGCTAGCTGCAAGGTTAGTGGTTCAAGCCCACCGGCCGCTCTAAGAGAGAACTATTTACGATCTTGGTGGCGGTGGTGGTGTGCTCATTTCCGACCCACAGCGACCCTGTACAGGATTTCCAAGGCTGTAAATCTTTATGGGATCAGAAAGCCTCATCTTTCTCCCATGGAATGGCTGGTATTTTCAAACTCCTGACCTTGAAGTTAGCAGCCCAACTTGTAACCACTATACTACCAGAGTTATTTACGATCTTAGAAACCCTATAGAGAGAGGTCTGTTTATGAGTCGGAATTGACTCTTTGGGTTCTGGTTTTTTTATAGTGAAGAGAAAGAAGCTGTCATGTGCAGTGGCTAAACACTTGGCTGTTAATCAAAAGGTCAGCAGTTTGAACCCACCAACTGCTCTTTAGGAGAAAGATGGTTCTCCCTCATCCATAGAACACACAGCATGACCCCTGTGACCTGCTCTGGGAACATGTCAGAGCCCAGTGTCCCTGTACCAGAAGGCCTTGGGAGTGTCCACAAGACTTCACTTGCTGTTCTGATGGTGGGAGGGCAATCTGCCTGACCCTCACCCTTCTGGTGTCAGCACTAACAAAGGCAACTGTGAATCTGTGGCCAGAAATGAAGCTCTGTCGTTCCAGAGGGCAGCCTCATTACACTGGGGGTCCGGGAAGGGGGGGCTATACTGTGAGCAGCAGGTGCCAAATTTCAATGTCTTCAATGTTGAATGTCTTCAATGTTGTTGCCACACAGTACTCATGACCTGTACCACTATTTGCTTGTTATTTGTCTTTAGATGAGTCATTTAAAATGATATATTTGAGTCTGAAAAGGAAATTGGACCTCACTGTAACAAATTAAAATCCAGCATCAATTGCCATAATTAAAACGACTATATAAATACAGTGCATTCACAACAAGAAACAAACAAGCAAAAGGTCAAAAAAGGAGATTAGTAAGCGTTACCGAGACAGAAAAGACATATCTGGCCCCAACAGACTGGTTTTTTTTTTTTTTTTTATCGTCTGAAGGATGGAAAAAAATTGAAATGGGAACCATTTTTCATTGTGTGATTCAGTGTTACTTAGAGCCGTGTGTAACTACCAAAAATCATCTTGTGTACACAAGTGGTATGTTTCCCACACTTTGGGAACCACTGGCTCGGGGGGAGGGTAAGGCACCAACCATCCCACCCACAGCCTTCCTTACTCAGCTGGGTTCAATAATTCGTTGTAATGACCACACAGAACTCAGACACCACACTCACAGTTATAGGGTTGATTAGGGAAGTAAACATGTATGTGTCAGGAAATGTCTTCCAGTCAGGACAGCCTCTCAGCCATGCCCGTAGGCAGGCCTCTCTCTGCCCAGACAGTGTAGTACCAGAGCTACTTTTGAAGCCTAGTGGGATGGCAAAACTGACCAATTCCTTTATAGATATCATTGGTATGGTCCTTGGAAGCCCTATATAGGGTTTCTATGAGTCAGAAATGACTTGAAGGCACTTAACAACAACAACAACAACCCTTACAAGTGGAGCATGGTACCTCTGTAGGGATAAGCACTGGACTGCGAACCACAGGGTGGGTGACTCAAGCCCACCAGCCACTCCATTGGAGAAAGATGAGGCTTTCTGTTTCTGCAAAGATGTACAACCTTGAAAACCATATACAGGGTCGCTATGAATTGGAACCCATTCAATGGCACTCAACAACCACAGTAACCCCTACAAGGGCACCGTGCACCATATTTACATTATTAATAAGTGATTCAGTCCCCTTGGTGAGCCACAAGCATCTCATGAACATAGTCCCATCAGTCACTGGTGGAAGTTACGAAGACTAGAAGGGCTGTTTGAAGTAATTTACGGAACCACAATGGTTGATGCACTTGGTTGCTAATTGAGAAGTTGGAGGTTCAAGTTCAACCAGAGTTGACTCAAAAGAAAGGCTTAGTAACCTACTTTGAAAAAAATCAGCCACTGAAAAGCCTAAGGACCACAGTTCTGCTCTGACACACACGGTCACCTTGGGTTGGACTTGACCAGAGAGTAACTTGGTTTGGTTCCCAGGAAAGTGTGGAGTGAGCTCTAGGGTGGTGGTTCCAGCATGTTCCACCAGGGCTACTGGAAGGATCTTAGCTAACCTTGTATTGAAAGAAAGAACTCTCGCATGTCTTGAAGTTGTTGTTGTTGTTGTTAAGTGCCTTCGAGTCGGTTCCGACCCATAGCGACCCTGTACAGGGTTTCCGAGGGTGTAAATCCTTATGGGAGTAGAAAGCCACATTTTTCTCCCGTGGAGCGGCTGGTAGTTTCAAATCGCTGACCTTAAGGTTCGCAGCCCGATTCGTAACTACTACGCTACCAGAACTCCCTCATGTCTTGAAGAGGAGATGGGAATTTCAGAGGAAGCCCATTTCTTTGCCAAGAAGACTGTTTGTAGGAAGCCCAGG